AAGCAAAGCCTTTAAGGTAGTGGTTTATAGTTTGACGCGAAGATGAAAGGCTAAGCACGTTTTGTGTATATTCTTGGCGCGTAGACAAATGGCGGAGAGCCTGCCACGTGTGTCCATCCGCAAGAGCCCTAAGTTCTCAGGTATGCGCTTGGCTCCTGGAATGTAGGCGGCAAGAAGAAAATGTCACAGCTCTCGGGTAAGAAGGAGGTCGCTGGCGCCTTGGATGCTGCTGCCGCCGGAGCCAAGAAGCAGAAATTGGACGCCGATGGCGGTGGATTCCTAGGCGAGGGATTGAGATCGTCGATCGGTGTGAATCCCAGGAGAGTGCGCGTGTTAAGTCAAGGGGATGAATCTCACAGCGGTCCTGTGGTGTATTGGATGTCGAGGGATCAGCGATCCAGGGATAACTGGGCTTTGCTCTACGCGGCCGAGCAGGCCAGGAAGAGAGATACCCCAGTGGCCGTGGTGTTTAATTTGGTGGAGAGCTTTCTGGAAGCCAAAGCCCGGCATTTTGGATTTCTTCTTCGGGGCCTGCGCGTTGTGGAGAAGAACCTCGAGAAGCTTGGCATCGCTTTTTTCTTGCTACGGGTAATCCTTAGTTTTTCTTGAGAACTTTCTTGTTTCAATGCCTGGAATGGTGCTTTAGATCTCTATTTCTCTCTCTTTTTCACGTTTCCATGGTTTTAACTCTGCAGGGTCGACCAGAAGACACGATTCCCGCATTTGTCGAGGCATGCAACGCGTCCATCCTCGTACTTGATTTTTCTCCTCTGAGGATTGGTCGAACCTGGAGAACTGGTGTTGTAAGCAGACTCGGGGCAGACACTACCACCGCCGTGCACGAGGTAGATGCTCATAATGTCGTTCCCGTTTGGATTGCCTCGGACAAACTGGAATACGCTGCTCGTACTATCAGATTGAAAATCCAGAGGCAGCTTCCAGAGTTTCTGGTGGACTTTCCAACGCTCGAGCCTTTCTCAAAGCCTTGGCCTGGGGTGGCACAAGAGAAGATCGATTGGGATTCTCTTATAGATGAAGTTCTAAGGTAACGACGTCGAGAAAAGGTCTCGCTGACATTTTCTCTGCGATGTAACAGAGCTGGTGACGAAGTTCCTGAAGTCGACTGGTGTGAACCAGGCGAAGATATAGCTCTTGAACGGTTAGCGGGTTTTTTGTCCTCTAGACTTCAACGTTACAGCGCTGAGAGAAATGACCCGTCCAAACTTGAACGTTTATCAGACCTCTCCCCTTACTTTCACTACGGTCAGCTTTCTCCTCAACGCTGCGCATTTGAGGTTCGAAAAGCTCGTAAGCTACATATGCAGGTTTGTTCAAAATCTTTTGATGGCTTCGTTGTCTTGATTCCTTCTTCCTTTTTTCCCAGTCTGTGGATTCGTTTCTGGAGGAACTAATAATCAGGCGGGAGCTGTCTGACAATTTTTGCTACTATCAACCGAATTATGACAACATCCAGGGAGCGTGGGAATGGGCCCGGAACTCGTTGCTTGAGCATGCGAATGATAAAAGAGAACATATCTACACGTAAGCTGTCTCTAGGGTCGTTTCAAAAGCTTGCAGTTTAAGATTGGTGCTTCTTTTTCCCAGGAGGCAGCAGCTTGAAGATGGGAAGACAAAAGATAAAGTAAGGGACTTGAATTCAATGAACAAGCTAGTAGTTTCTTTCTTGATTTTTTCTGAACAGCTATGGAACGCTTCCCAGCTAGAGATGGTTCACCGTGGGAAAATGCACGGTTTTATGCGGTATGTTCCAAAGTAGTTCTCGATTTATGACTCCTTTTGCACTGTTTTTTGGCAGTATGTACTGGGCGAAGAAGATATTGGAGTGGACGGAAAGTCCCGAGGACGCTTTGGCCATTGCGATTTACTTCAACGACAAGGTATTGTTTACTCCCTCTCTTTGTGTTCTTCATAGAGAAAGCCTTTGTTGCAGTATCAATTGGATGGAAGAGATCCAAATGGCTACGTTGGTTGTATGTGGTCCATATGTGGCATTCATGACCAGGTGTGCGAGCAAAATACACAGGCTCTTTCTCACAGGCTTGTTTTTCAGGGCTGGAAAGAGAGGCCGATATTTGGCAAGATACGTTACATGAACTACGAAGGCTGCAAGCGTAAGTTCAATGTGGATGGATACATTATGTACGTGAACAAGCTTGTCGCCGAGGTGAAGAAGCGTCGAAAGAGGTGATGTAGTAGCCTTATCCTATGTTTTCTAGCTTGTAAGATCGAGTTCTTGTTCCTTCAGCCAGGAGAGAACTTTGGAATGTTAACTTGGATCCGAGTCCAAGCACTCAGCACCGTCGTCCACGTAACAAACGTCGGCTCGAAAGGCATAGCTTCCACCATATCCAGAGCTTCCTCGAGCTGATTGGCCCGGCTGAGAAGATCGATGACGCAGTGGTAGTGCTCGCGGCCGGGGCTCACCTTGTACTTGGACTGCATCGCGTCGAAGCAGAGCCTCCCAGTGTCGACCAGGCCGGAATGACTGCACACGGCCAGAAGGCACTGAAATCCCATGCCGCAGACTTTGACACCTTCGTCGACCATCTCGTGGAAGGTCTCGAACACCAGAGCGGCGTCCCCTCCGCGGCTGTACCCGGCGAGCAACGCAGTCCAGGCCACTGCGTCTCTGGGAGCAAGCGCATCAAACACCTGCTGGGAGGAAGCCATGCTCCCACACTTGGCGTAGAAATCTATCAAGCAAGTCACCACCACTGTATCGCTTTCGAGCCCCTGCTTGCAGACGTCGCCGTGGATCGCCATGCCAGCTTCCAGAGCCCCGACGCTGCCGCAGGCCTTCAACGCGATCGCAAGTGTCCGAGCGTCCGGTTTCCAGCCTTGGGCCTCCATCCGAGAGAGAAGCTCCAGCGCCACCCTGCCTTGCCCGTTCTCGGTGTATCCGGATATCAGAGCCGTCCAGGAGACCACCCCGGGGCGTGGCATGTTGCCGAAGACTCTCTCGGCTTCCAGCATTCCACCGCAGTTGGCGTACATGTCGAGCAAGGTGTTCGCGACGTACACGTCCGAGTCGAGACTTTGAGCTGCGGCTTGAGAGTGTATCGCCATGCCCGTCTCGAGACTTCGCAGCTTCACGCCCGACCCGTCAACTTTCTGCCACTCTTCTTTCGCCGAGATCCTGATGCAAGCTTTCAGAGCAGCGACAAAGGTCCCAGCGTTTGGAACACAGCCGTCTCGTCTCATGCCCGTGAACGCCTCCAGAGCCAGCTCCCCGTCACCGTTCTCAACGTACCCCAGCATGAGCTCGTTCCAGGCCACCACGTCCCGGTCCGGCATCCCGGCAAACACCCTCGCAGCGTCATCCATGCTCTTGCTCTCGGCATAAGCATCGATCAATCTGCTCGCCACGAACATATCCCTGTCGCAGTTGTCTCTCGCAGCTTGAGAGTGAACGGCCAGAGCATTCTCCAAGGACACCATCTTCACGAGCTTCCCGTCAAGTTCTCTGGCCTCCTCGTCACTCGCAAGGCCGCTGCAAGCCTTGAGACAAGCGACGTACGTCAAGGCATTCGGCACCACGCCTACGCCGCGCAGGCACCGAAACGTTTCCAGCGCCAGCCTCTCCTGCCCGTTATCGGCATAGCCGAGTATCAGAGCTGTCCACGCGACCACATTCCGCTGCGCCATCTTCTCAAACACGGAGGAAGCGTCTCCCATACTGGCACACTTGGAGTACACGTCCACCAAGCTGCTTCCGATGTATAGACTCGAATCGCAGCCGCCAGCTTTCCGAGCCTGAGAGTGCAACGCCATGCTCTTCTCCAACACTTCCATCTTGCCGTGCCTCTGGTCGCCAAAGTCGGCCGTCACTGCGAGCCTGGAGCAAGCTTTCAGAGCGGCGACGAACGTCCAGGAATCTGGAGGGCAGCCACCGGCTTGCATCACCACGAAGAGCTCCAGAGCTCTCTCGGCTTCGCCGTTCTCCGCGTACCCGAGAATCAAAGCGTTCCAAGAGATCACGTCTCGCTGCTTCATCCGTCCAAACACCCGAGAGGCATCCGCCATGCTGCCACACTTCGCGTACATGTCTACAAGGCTGCTTCCAACATAGATGTTGCTCGACTCGTGGTGCTTGCTCCTGGAGTGGACAGCCATGCCTTTCTCCAGGGCCGCCATGCTCACGACCATGCCGTCGACTTGCCTCCCTTGTTCGCTCGCCGCAAGGCTGCTGCAAGCTTTGATCGCGGCGACGAAGAGCCGGGCATCTGGAAAACACTCGTGAGATTCCATCACCGATAGCAACTCAAGAGCAGCATTGCCTTGCCCGTTTTCGACGTACCCGAGCAGCAAGGCTGTCCACGAGACAACGTCTCGATGCTCCAAGCCGTCGAAGACTCTTCGAGCATCTGGCATGCTTCCACACTTGGCATACAAATCGATCAAAGTGTTGGCCACGATGATCTCCTCGCAGCCGCTGCTCGCAATCCGGCAATGCAAGGCCATGGACTTCTCCAAAACTCCAAGCTTTCCATCGTGTTCTTCCATGCGTCCTGTCAAGAGCACACAAGCTTTAAGCGCGGCTAGGAAGCTCCAAGAATCCGGGACGCAGCGATTTACCTCTGTGCTGCTACACAGGCGCGAGAAGAGCTCGAGCGAGGTCTCACACTCCCCATTGCAAGCGTACCCCAGGATGAGCGCATTCCAGGCCACGAGATCGCGATGCTCCATGGCGTCAAACACGCGCTGCGCCTCGATCATCCTTCCACACTTGGCGTACAAGCCGATGAGGCTGCTCGCAACATAGAGATTGGAATCCATCCCTTGCCGGAACGCATCGGCCGCGATCAACTTGCCCCGCTCGAGATCGCGCAATCTCCTGGAGGCCTTCAAATCCGCCAGAATGGAGCTCACACTTGCCTTGGAAGAGGAATCCACGGCTATTGGCAGCGCATTGGAGCCTCGCCATCGCTCGATTTCCCCGAGCATTTGAAGAGCCCTAAAGTATAGTTTGTATTTTCACCGTTAAGAGTGTTCTTGGCGCTCTTGGCGCAGGGAATGGAAGAACAAGAACTAGGGCTCTCGGCCGATGCGGCATTATGGTGATTCGAGGCGCCGCGGCTGGGATCTATGTGCGATCTTCTGTGCCGCGCAAGCACCGGCCGGATTGGGACGTAAGTAGTATGAAAATCTTTGTTTCGCTTTGAAAATCCTGCTCTTTTGTTCTACCTAGAACACTGTGCGCGATCTCAAGACGCTCAAGCTCACAGCTGCGGAACTGGTTCGTTTCTTTCTCTCGTCTTTCACCTGAATAAGAATTCTTCTCTTAGGAAGCAAGATCTAAGGCGTTTAAATCTAAAGACTGGTCTCGGCCAAGAAAAACTTCTTCTGGTAATTCATCCTAGCGGTTCTCATGATTTTTTTTTCTTTTCACGGGTTCTACAGGTCGGAGTGTGGAGGTAGAAGAAACTTGCGGGAGTGAAGATGGCGATGTAGCTGCCAAGTTAGCAATGCACAGGATCAAAGTTCGTAGAGGTAGTGCGCATTTTCTCCTTTTTTTTGGCATTCGATCTTTTCTTTGTATTCTCTTCGTGGTTTTGACATGCTTCGATCGTTGCAATGCAGACTTTTTAGCGTTGAAGAAGAGCCATATCCTAAGCAACTGTTCGACCTCAAGCAGTGGCGATGACGATGACGATGGTGACAACGGGGATAACAATTTCGACGAGGACATCCGCCGGTTAGAGTCACTTCAAACGCAGCAGCTTTCGCATAAGACGACGTCGACACCTCCTACCATGAAAAACAAGCCAGACCTGGCTTGTGATATGCAGTTTCTGAGGGGGAGCCCCAACCTTTTGCAATACCTGGAGACTGAAATGCAAAAGGCGTGGTCCGAGATGGCCTTGGCAAAAGAAAAGCAGCAGCGCAAGCGTAAGAAAGTTAAAAAGAGGATGAAATTGCAGCTTGGACAGAAGAACAAGAAGAAGCCAGAGAAGGACGATGTCAAGTTGCTCAATATGGTTCTCGCAAGCCAAAAGTCAACCGCTCTTGCTACGAATCAAACTTTTGTCCAGGTACTTTGAACTTTTTGCCGCCCGAGAATTCTTGTATATTTTTCCATCTGTTTCAGGAGTTGCAAAAGCATGTACAGTACCAGCAAAACGTTATCCACGAGCTCAACGAGTTTCGAATCTCTGCAACAAGAGAACTTACAAACCTCGTGGTACGTATGACTTGAGTAGCCTGACTTTTTCATTTTCGAACTTGTGTGCGCAGGTTCTTATCCAAAAGCTGGTCTCAATCCAAGAATCCAAAGCTCCGATTGTGAGTCTACCTGCGAGCGACGATGAAAGTAAAAAGCTTGTTATTGAAGGTGAAAAAATGTTTTTTTTTTTTTAATTTGTTCTTTTTTTCTAACATTACGCTGCTTTCAGCAAAGCCTCCTCCCGCTCTTACGGACAACATTGAGCCTGCCGATGAGGGATCAACTCGACAGATCGAAGATCGACCGAGTCACCATAATGGTACCCCGCCTAAGGCAAGAAACATTTGACATTTCCATGAAAACAAACAATTACAACCATTTTTTTGCAGCCTCGCGAAGTTCCTACGTTTCTGAAGCGACGAGCTTGCACCATATCAAAGAAAGTCTCTGCCGCAAGGCCTCTCCAGCTGCAAGGTCCCAACCAAGCTAAACCTCCTCCTGACAGTAAACATCTTGACACGACGCAGGCCGCAAAAGCCACCGAAAACAAACGAAGGCTTCCATCCACATATCAAAGACCAACGGAGGAGCCGACTAGAGAAGGCGAGGTAACGGGTGACGAGTTCGACAGGAGAGAGAATCCACTCTTTGAGTCGGAAATGCAAGGGAAAAGAGCCGTCTCCCGGGGCCCCTTCAAGAAATCCAGGCTTCACGAGCAATCCTCATCGCCAACATGGAGAGGAGGACGACACGCTCTGCTCGCCGCAGCAGCCGAGCAGCCTTCTTCGCCAGCGTGGAAGGGGCGACACAACATTCCCCTAGAGAAACCTCCGTCGCCAACTTGGAGAGAACGACACATCCAAGCTTGCGACCAATCTTCATCGCCAACAGGGAAAGGCCGACTCGCTCAGCTCGCCACAGCAACAGCAGGGTGCGGGCAACCATCGTCGCCAACAGGAAGAGAACGGGCTTTTCCCGCTCAACAGGCAGCAATCACTCACGAGCAAACTTCGTCGCCACCATGGAAGGGAAGCCGACACGCAGCAGTGGAGCAAAGTTTATCACCGAAGTGGAAGGGAAGCCGGCACGCAGTGGAGCAAAGTTTGTCACCAAAGTGGAAGGGAAGACATGCTCCTCAAGCGACGATGATCAAAGCCGACGAGAGAGCTGCCGAGGATGGGAAGAAAGCCACTATATGCATACCAACGAGGAAGCCAAGCTTGGAAGAACGCAGAGTGGTGATCCCGGTGGTGAGGAAGAAGGCAACGATGCAGCCATCGATGAACAAAGCCCAGCTTGCCGAGTCGCAGGTGGATTTCCAGAACAAAAGGCCACCGAGGTACAAGCTTCAGGGATGGTCCGCGGTTCTCGCCCAGTCTGGTATGTGGATGAATCTCTCCGGTTCGATCAGCTAACTTTGTTTTCTTTGTTTTTCTTTTTTTTTTTCCAGACAAGCTCAGAGGCAAAGAGAACAATGTAAGAGCATAAACTCGATTACGTGCAAATCTAGCGATTTTTCTAGACGCTCCTCGTATGTTCGAGTAGAGAAAGTTTCAAAGAAATGGTTTTGCGATGCTTCCAAGAAGCCGAGCTTAACCGCGTGAAAGGTATACTTACAAAAGTATTGTCGCGATTTAGGGTTCTTCATTTGCATCATTTCTATGGGGGGCACGGAGGCGTTTCCAAATCTCGGCAAGCACTGCAGCCATTCCTCGTGTGGGCAGCTCGATTTCCTGCCCTTCAAATGCGATGCCTGCTCACAGGTAAAATTCTCTTGCTTCCTAGATCAGGGGATTCCAAACAAATTCTCTTGTTCCAGGTGTTTTGCTTGGATCATCGATCCTACACAGCTCACGAATGCCCCAAGGCGGGCGCCAAGGACTCGACAGTGATCGTTTGCCCCTTTTGTGCCTCGGGCGTCAAGACGGTGGCGGGCGAGGATCCCAATTCCACAATCGAGAGACACCTCCAAACGTCTTGCGACCCAAGCAACTACGACCGCGTGATGAAGAAACCAAAGTGCTCCGTGCGAGGATGCAAAGAGGTTCTCACCTTCTCCAACAAGTTCCATTGCAAGGTCTGTAGCAAGAACACCTGCATGAAGCACAGGTTCCCGGCGGATCACGCATGCCAAGCTATGAGCTCCAGTGTTGCCGGAAGGAATGGTGGTGGTGGCGGTGACTTGGCTTCCAGGTTTTTGCAAGCTCTGTCGATCAGGACAGGGAGTGAGTGTGGAACGAGCAGCAGCAACAGCCGCAGCAAGAGCTCCTCTTCAAAGTGGCCGAGAATTTTCTAGTAGAGCCAAGAAAAAACTGTTGGGTATATTTGGAATATGTGTGAATATACTGGCCTATTCTATCAGAAATTCAACTAGATTAATCTGGTGTTTAGAATACTAAGTTAGTGCGCTGGCTCCCCTTCAAAGATAATGTAGTCTTCATAAGGACTCCATGAACCTCCTCAATGAGCATATTGGAGGAAAAATCATGTAGATTCCCTTTGTAACACTAACTTTCCTCCATCTATCATTTGCCACAACTATAGTAGCAATCCTTACCACCCCACCAAATCTAGCATCCAAAAAATTGGGTGTTAGAAACTTCAAAAGTAAAATTGAGTTGGAAAACCAAAATGTATGTAACAAAGAGTAAATGCTTGCTAGCTTGCTTTGTTTCAAGCATAAGGTCTAAACCTTGGAAAGAGTGGAAATCAAACATGGTATTTAGGGTGTAATGTGGAGATTCACAAATATTCCCTTCTGGGAGGAGAATTTACACTAAAGGATAGCAAAAATTTAAAGTAAATTGGTGGGAAAGTTAGCTATAAAAAGGAGGGTGCAAAGGGTTAAGCTAGGCCTTTTTGAAGTGTTTAAAGGCCCTTAAAAGTGTTTTTAAAGTTAGTGAGGAAAGTGTTTAAAGGCATTTAAAAGTGTTCTTAAAGTTAGTGAGGAAATTCCCTGTGCAATTGGCTGTGGCAAAATATCTATTAGTGACTTGGCTAATTAGGGTGAGTTTTATTATTCCCCTTTCCTCTCTTTTATCTTTATAACATTCTCCATAAGTTCCCTATTAGTCATTTTAGCTTCACTTGGCTTCTTTTAGCTATTCTCTTTTGCTAGCTTTGTAAATTCCTTCTCACCCTGCATCTTGAGAATCTCTACATCTAGGGACATTATTTCCCTACAACCATTTTTTCATCTCATTTTTTTTCAACTTCTTACTTGTTCACTACCACCTTTAGCTCCCCATATTTCTTTACTCTAAGGTATATATACTTTTTTACAAGAATCTAGTAAGCTGCAAGAGAAATAAACAAATGATTACTTAATGAAATTGCTTAGGGATGCCTTATTGCCAGTGGCCAACCGTGAGCTACAAGCAAAACTTTTCAAAACATTCTAAAGATCATGAAAAATCAAATGAAATCTCACTAACACTCATAATTCCTCCAAGAATGTAGAAGCACGAAGTCAATTGGAGTACTAGTGATCCAGAAAAATATCTAAGGCAAATGGGCCCGTTAATCTAATGCACACACAATTCCCATCTCCATAACAAGATTTAGAAAATTTTGCTCACTTGAGACTTTTCCCAGCCAAGAAAAGGTGGTGTTTTGTTCCTAACTTCTAAGATCTAAATGGGTTTGCAATTGTCCTTTAGCCGTTTAGATCTAATAGGGTCTCAGAATTGAAGCTAAGAGCCACTGTGTTGTGTAGATTCCATTGCATTATGCCCAAACTAGAATCTAACAAGGTACAAGAGAAACAAATAAAGGGTTGTTTGACAAAATTGCTCAGGGATGCCTTATTGCCAATAGCCGACCATGAGCTATAAGCAAAGCTCTCTAAAACACTCTAAAGCTTATGAAAACAAAGTGTAATCTCACTAGCATTCACAATTCTCCTCATTACTTACTAAAATCATTCTAAGAACACTTTTAAACACCTTTAAACACTATTAAACACTTTATAAAGGAGGTGAGGCCTAGTCTAACCCTTCCTTATTGTCACCCTCCTCTTTATAATTGGCTCTTTTTCTGATTTAATCTAGATCTCTATTATCCTTTAGTGTAGATTCTCTTCCCATGACTTTTAGGGAATATTTGTGCATCTTCACTACACGTCATATCAATCAAATATGACTTCGACTATTCCCAAAATTTTGATAGTACAAACATTTTAGCTAAGCGAAGTTAGAGGAGAAGAAGAAGTCATGTTTGATCAATATGGTATCTAGGGTATGACATGGAGATGCATGGATATTCCTTAGGAGTTATGGGAGGAAAATCTACACTAAAGGATTGTAAAAATTTGGAGTAAATCGGTGGGAGAGCTGGCTATGAAAAGGAGGGTGACAAGTTAGGTTGGGCCTCACCCCCTTTCTGAAGTGTTTAACAGTGTTTAAAGGCATTTAAAAGTGTAATCTTAATAAGTAGTGAGGAAAATTGAGATTGCATTCTATTTCTCATGATCTTTAGAGTGTTTTTGGAGAGTTTTACTTATAACTCATAGTTAACCATTAGCAACAGGGTGTCCTTGAGCAATTTCATCAGTAATTCTTTTTTTTTTTTTCTTGGAGCTCACTAGATTCTCATCTAAGCACAATGTAGTGGAATCTATATAGCACAGCACCTCCTGGCCTCAATTCTAGCAGATCTAAGTGATCTGCTAGATGTAAGCAGACAAAGGATAGTTGCAAGTCTATTTAGATCTTGAAAGCTAGGAATAGGGTGCCATCTTTTCTTGGTTGGGAAAATTTTCTAGTGAGCAAGGTTTCCTGAATTTTACTATGGGGAGACTAATTGAAAATTGCATATGTGTTGGACTGAGAGGCTTATTAGGTCTTTAGAGATTTGTTTGGATCACTAGTACTCCCACTAGCTTTGTGCTTCCATGTTCTTAGAAGAGCTTGCCACGCAATAGGCCATATGGTGGAATATTTGCTGGTGCCATGTGTCAATCAAAGCAAGTTTGATTGTTCCCCCTTCCTCACTAGTACAAGCTTTTGCTTTGCCCTAGTTTCTCATGTTCACTTTTACCCTAGTATTATGCTAACATGTAAATACATATAATATGTTGTTGCAAGCTCAACAAGCCTTTGTAATACCAGTTCTAATAGTTTTGTTTGATGAAACTTACTACTTCCAGAAACTTGATTGTAGAAATCAAAGGTGTAGAAAAGCCAGATGAGGTGGTCATCTTTGGAGGCCATTAGGACATTGCATATGGCACAAAGGATGATGCTGATGGAGCATTTGTTTCTTGGGAGGTATTCATTTATTGTCTTATGAAGCAAATTATAGCTCCATCCATTTTGCATTTCAAGTGGTGGGATTTATTCACCAACTCAAACTAAGGCCATACCACACACTTCAAGCAGTGTTATTGTGTGAATGAGGAAAATGACACAAAAGTTGTTAAGCAATACTAAAGCATGAGTAAATCTCTAAACCTCATACTCCTTTCTTTTTCTTCTTCCTATCATGAAACCAATCTCTTTTAAAGTATACACAATCCATTCTGGAAAAGATACAATAACTACAACTTGAAATTATCTTCTACAACTTTGTAGAAGGCCTTGCTAGATCAAAAAAGCTTTACTTGCAGGAATTGGATTTGGAAATATTAGTGGTCATTCCATAGGGATAGACATTTCACCCATGGTAAGCATCTCTTGTCTTCCTCTTTATTGAAATTAACTATATTTTCAGTGTGATGCTAGAGTTCTTTATGAAAGCCTAGTGACTCTGGACCCATTAGTTAAGAACAGTCCATCCAAAAGCTTTAGCAATCTTTTCAAGTATCCAGATGTCAACTTCAGAACTAGTACTTTTGGGATGTTTATTTATCTTCAACTATATTTATTCACTTGTCTGTGTTTATGCAAAGGTATCACCATACCCAATTCGACACAGTTGACAAGTTTTCACCTAATCAACTCCAACACTGCCATGCTTGCTGTTTGGACATATCAAATCTGGATTCCATGCTCCCGAGATCGTGAAAATAGATCTATAGCCAGTTGTCAGTATTTGTGAAATTGTGTATTCTTCATGACTCGGAAATTGACACTTGTAAACTAGTAAAAGGAAGATATATCAAATTTATTTATGATAGAATTTTGATAGAATTTTGTCCTTTCACTTATAATAAATTTGATATGAATTTGATTTAGTGTGATGAATGAGACGACATCTCTAACACCTCAAGTGAAGACTACCCTAGATAGAGCTTGAGCAAGACATCAAGCATGCAAAGTATAAACTTCCAACCCCCTAGCATACACTAAGACAACCTCCTAGATGTGCAGCTGGATGTTGTGGTTGAAACAATGACCAATCTTGACTATGGTGGCATCCAAGTTTCAAGTGAGATGGGTGGCAGAGCATAGGGGCCTCATTTGCCAATGCAGCTGATACAACAGGAGGTTGTTTCTCTTAATTCTCAGGAGAGAAGAAATCATTTGGAAAGAAAAATATAAATTAAAGTGATGTTTAAATTAAAGGCTTAAAGGCATATACAATCAAGATAAATCTTTGCATTTAGCAGGCAACTCAGGATTATCTACTTTGATGGTTTCTGAAAATATTTTTAACTCATCTCGAGCATGTTCTACCCGTAACATAAAAGATCCATCTCTAAGCAAAATCACTCCTCCACCTTCATTATAAGCTAAACATATTCCCCATAAATCTTCTATAGCTTCTATGAAGTCATCACGTGTGCTTCCATGGAACCAGCCAATTGTTAGAAAGATGCCTAAAGTACCAATTCTGAAGCTATAAGTACCATGTTGGAAACCATTTAAAGAAAATTGGAGCCAAACCAATGATGCACAATTACAATAATCTCCAACATTAGTTGCAATAGAAAAAGTGTTAATACAATCTTGGAATGATGGTGCAGAAAATGATTTTGCTTGTTGGATGACCATTAATATTAAGATAAAATTGCATAGGATCACTTTTCCTTCCATAAGTAAATTTTATTTTAGTAAGGAATACAAATCTTCAAATAAACCATCTTTCTCATATATATATATATATATATATATATTAAAATTCAATTATTTTATTTCATAGTTTAAAATTTGGCTGGTTGTTAGACTTAATAATCCAATGTATAAAGTCAAATATCTAAATTATTGAATTCATAATATTCAAATCTAAAAGTAAAAATATTATTATAAGGTCTAGATACACCAATGAGAGAACTCTAAATATGGCAAATAGTCTCAAAGCAATCAATGGTCTCAAATGTGGTGATATTGCAATCTAGATTAGCCAAGTTAATCTTGTTTTTATCTAATAAATATGAGCTAGCCAAGGGGTTAATGCAGTTTGCTTAAGATCATGCAACTTTCACAATGTTGGTTTGAAGCTTTAACACTTGATTGT